ACATCAAAATGGCACGGCATCTAAATTTCTTATGAAGGACCCAGATCAGTTACACGTCACCTGAAAAAGAGGAGTTACTTAATAGTTTTGACATTCCTGAAATTACCGGCCACTATACTCAAGCTGGTTTAACTCAGCAGGCATTTTATTGAGGTCGGTTCATTAGTCCTGTGCTTTCAAGGACACGAAATACAGTAACTTTGAGCACAAATTCCCTTGATCTGAGCAGCTCAAAGACACAGACATCTCCCTCCCCCAAATTATTCTCCAATGTAAATTCATACCAACCCTGACTGAACTTAGCTCTGCCTCCTCTATAAAGACATCGCACAGGCCACTGTTTTCCATCGGGAAGCTGAAGTTTAATGAATCCTGAAACCCCACTTAGATGCTTCTCAGCAAAGCATGATGGTAAGTACTGCAAGAGCAAAAATCAAAATGTACACTGAGGCGTGCTATGGGTTGAAACTGAAAAGACATGTACAGCAGACATATACAATGCTCACCATAATACATCCCCTGTATAGATATGACGGTCGCAAGACAACCCTGCAGAAAGGGTTAGTTGGCTCAAACGCTTTGGCTGCATTAATTGCCCTCTCTCTTTCTTCAGCTGTCACTGTTCTCTTTCTGGCTGAAGCACTTTCATAAATCGAAAGCGCATTTCCACTTCATCTTCATGTCCAACAGATGAATCCTGTTCATCTACATTTCATTGGACAACCGATGAGAAATTTCAATTCCTTACACACTGCTAACAAACAAAAAACTTAGTTAAGAGGACTTACTAGGGTCAAACTTCCGCTTTTTCCTCCCAGGCTTTTTTGGTTTTGGTAGCTCTGCACCTGAAGAATGCAATTTCACTACATTAGCAGAATTTTTTTAAGTTCAAATGCATTAAATGAAGGGCCATACCTCGAATAGGTTGATTATTAACACCCTTTGATGTGTGAAGGTTGACTTCACCAGTCCAGTTTATGCAGTTGTTAAGCTTTGTCCCACCAAACAAATTCTGCAGTGCTGGAGAGATGCATTCATCATCTTCAAGTTCTTCAAATGGATATTGTTTGCCATGATTGTATTGGCTACCGATGAGGGCATTAGACTGATAATTTATTTCAGAGTTTATCAAATTAAATATACTAACACTGAAGGCGGAATTTCCTTCATATCTGAAAATCAAAAAGTAGCCCACACGGATATAGTAACGTTCTACAAATTCCTGCCAACCCTCCTGAAACCAAACCTTGTTGTCAGCTTTCTTTATTCCTACACGCCAAACATGACCATCAGGAACAGTGAGAGCAGCAGCAACAGATAGTTCATCCCTGAATTTCTTAACAAAGTTATCAGGGATCCTCTGCAGACACCCCAAATCAAGTTAGGCTCATTTGTCTGATGAATAATAAACTTGGGATTCAATGGTTTGAATGAATAATTTGTAGATGAACCTTCATAACATTATGACATTAAACTTAATGTTATATGAATAAAGCTGCTATGCCATCCTCTTACCTAAAGTAATATTAGCATCCAAAAGACAAGTTTGAATCATTTCAAAGAAAATAATATACATCATCACACATAAATACAGTCAGTATAATCATCATTAAAGCAAAATCCATATATACTTTTCCTAGTACCAAAAATCATAAGAAGGATAAAAAAAAAAAAACCAAATACCATAGATGAACTTTCTAGTCTTGCTCATAAAGCACCATTACGTACTAGCCACATCATTTGATGCCTATTTGATCAAACTCACTAGCAGTTTAACTCAAAGAGGAATGTCATCCAAACAAATGGCAAAATATGGATGAGAGTCTCCACGTTCCCACTCTATGTAATACACAAAAAGAATGAAGAGTGAAATGCATTACACCACTGGTATCATCTTGTGAAATTAATACAGATTACCTTTGGGATCCAGGATATGTAATATTTTATATAGATCCTATTACACTTTAATTTTCTGGTTTTGGTAAAACTTTAATTCTATTAGAAAGATGCATCTTTTTACAACCCCACCCCACGCCCACCCCCTCCCCTGGGCAGCAACCAAAAGAATGAAGAAGAGGGAATCAACACTATAAATCCAACAAAAACCAGGAAATAAAGAACTTGATTTTACTGTCATGTGGACGTGCAGTGTCTTCCTCCACTCTCATTACGGAAGATCAAAACATTAGTATACCCCCCAACTTTGGAATGCAGCATGTCAATTTCAAGTGTGAAAATTAATAAGCCTTCAACTCACATGCAGGGAGATCATGAGGAGGTAAACTACTATCTAAAATGTTTTACATAGAAATTAATTAAAATCTTCAATGATTTTTCTAACAAAATCATCAAAATGAATGATCACACCACTTTAAATGAGTGTAAAAATTTTGAGCAAAAAATGCATAATCATTCAACAAGTAGCATTTCACCCGTTTTGGTTACAATTGCTTCACCATTAGTGTATTTGGTGCAAAATTGAACCTGAGAAAAAAATAAATTTCTTTCTTACTAGCATAATACTAAGAGACTCATATAACTCAATAGAGTTACTACCATGAAGCAAAATATATCATGTTTCAAAAAATTGCAACTCCCCACAGCTTTAACACACCACCTACCTAATAAAAGGACTAGATGACAAAAAATTGAGATCTTGTGTTTCATCCATTTCCTTCAACTTTACCCAGTTCATCTAGTACCAGCAACCCAACAACTTTCTAAGATTACTTAATCAAAATCCTATCACATGAGCTACCAAAACCTTAAACCAACTCTTCAATTCTCCTAGTCTTCCTCTAATTCCATCGACCAAACTTACTCTAGCAGTTCTCAACATTCAAATTTCACCCCAAAGTCTAAAAAACACACACTTCAATACACAAAAGAAAGGAAAAAAAAATAAACAAGCCCGAAAATTGGAAGAAAAAAAACACATAACAAACAAAACCCATAATATATTCCCATCATCCTCTACTTTTCCAACACTAAAAACTTTGCCCAACAAAAGAACTTCTTGAAATATTAAGTTATCAAACCAAAAAACCAATCATCTGTTTCTCTGCTCCCCCTAATTTAGTCCAAAACGATATAAACAAACATATAAGACCATAACAAAAAATTAAAAAGAAGAAGAAGAAGAAGAAGAAGACTGAAGAAAGAGAAAGATTGGGTTTTTCCGCTTTTACCAGTTTCTTGTCTTGGAGGGTAGAGGAGAGAATAAGCTTGTGGAAAAAAGGGCGTGGCATTTTGGAGAAATGGTCAGATCATATAATGATGTTGAGTTTGAGGGAGAGTTGGAGTTTTTTTGAGTTTTCAAAGTGTATGTATCTGTCTATCTATCTACTCTTATGTATCTATATAATCTCTCTGACTGACTGATTAAATGATAAGACTTTGTTAAGTGCTCGGAGAGAGAGAGAGAGAGAGAGAGAGAGAGATACTCAAAAAAAGCAAAGAGAGAGTATGAGACAACAAAACACAGAGAGAAAGAGAGAGGGAAAGAGCTTTCAGATCTGGGTCTCCCCTTCCTCTTCTGCTTCCCCACTGGTTTTTCTTCCTAGTCAAATAGTGCTTTTTAAACCGTAAGGGATCAAAAAAAAAAAAAAACCTCAACTTGACCTAAAAGTTGAACCGAGTTTTTATCACATTCCCCCTACTCACTCACTCACTGAGTTTTAATCTCGCCTGCTTAACCCAAGCACCCACCGTGTGTCCCACCAACTCCCTGCTTGTTTTTTAGTAGTTTTTTTTTTCCTTTTTGTGCTGACCCACCAAGTCACCATCAGAAGTCAATCATAGTTTTACAACATTTTAAGACATAATTCAATTTTAATTATAATTTTCCATTGCCAATTCTTCAACAACAATCAAGTTATATAATAATTCACATAAAAAAAGTGATAAAAAGTATGTTTATGTTGAAAATTGTAAAGAAGAGTGCAACCTTCTCTATAGCTATTCTCAATCTACTACTAGCATTATAATTAAACATGAGGATTTGATAGCATAACTTGACATACTAAATCAGTAATTCTAATAATAGTACCACGCAACATCAATGATACCCCGAGTTTTGACAAAGACTAAATAATTTATTACTCTGTTAACACATTTTTTCCTCCTAAAGATGAAAAAGATAGGCATTTAAGTTACAATAAGTACTAGTACTTGGTAAGAAAATTGTTTAAAATGGGCAAAAGTGTAAAACCCATAAATTATTCAATATTTGATTAAGTTTTTTATTAAAAAATTTTGGTTAAAGACAGATTCATGATGGATTTGAAGAGATTAGTAAACAATGGTGAGTTTGGTTGGAACTCATTTTTAGGTGACTGGGTTGAGTCAGCAAGAGAAAGAAGGGGAGAGCACTGAGTCAGAGGTGCCAAAAGAAGACAGTGTCGTCCAGAGTCGTGTGACCCCAGCAATTCTCTCAGCAAAGGGGGATCCTTTTATTTATTCCATTCGTCTAGGACAAAGGCTTTTGGACACGTGTCGAGCCAGGGTGGACGGGGACCACGACCAGAATCACATGCACAGCAAAATGAAGAAAAGGAAGAAGCCACCTTTTTATTACACCTTCATGACTTCATCGCTCCCTTACTGCCTAAAGTTGTTGGGGCACTAAATCTCAACCAATCAAATAATTCATTCATCTTTGGTTTTTTCTGCTCTCCCAAATCAACCCACAGTTTTGGTTTACTTAGGGTTAAAAATCTTTTCAATTCTTCATCATATGCTATGGTGATGCATTTGTTGGTCCCCCAACTTCTGTTTATGATGGCATCAAGTTTTATGTTTTGCAGAGTGATGTTAACTCAAATAAAAATACCCAACAGAGTAGTGGTTTAATATGAGCTTTCAATTTGTATATGCATGGGGTTTCCTCAATAAATATACCAATATATCCTGGAAAGAAAATTGATTGCATGGAATCAATGATGGCATGTCATCTGGGTAAAGCCTTTGATAATTTGGGAAAAGAAAGGGAATATTTGCTTTTTATTCATAATAATGATCTTGGTATAGGGCAATTAAAACAAACTAGTATATTAAAGTTGTTAAATTGTTGAAACAAGGGAGGAAAAACACTAAAAGGTATTTGATAGTTGCAAAGCTGCAATCATACATGAAAGAGATGGTTCTTGGACATACGTTCCACATTTTGTAGTTAACAATTCCAAATCATATAGGTTAAAAGTCATGGGAAGTAAAGGGGATAGAGTAAGACCAATTTCAGTCACAGGTTGATCAAACTTGTACAAACAGTTGACTGCAGGTTTCTCTCTCAGTGGGGAAAATATGGACTCTCATTTCTCGAGGTGCCACAAGTTCAAAGACACAACTGTCATCCATCTCCAGCTTGTTATCAACTGCGAATCTTCGCCAACCTTTGGAGAAAACCTTGTTGGTCTCAGTGTATAGCAAAGTCACCTGCCAAGATTTCTCCTTTGAAGTCCAGAAGGTGAATTCCGTTCTGGCTTGAGGAAGATGTGCATTGAGAAAAGATGTGGGGATGGTCTGTAGGAATGACAAATTCTACTTAATATGCTTGTTGTGGTTAAAAGTTCCGGAAAACAAACCTTTGGGGTTGAAAATGCTTACCAGCAGGAATGGGATCTCCACATTACACCTTGTAATGCAATGCTTGAAATGAGGGAAGTTGGAGGTGAAATCTTTAGCCGCCTTACAAAGCTTTGCTGTAATTTTTCTACCTGCTGGCCGCTTCTTTGAGGAAGAGGCTAAATCTTTTTCCTCTGCTGAATTTTTCTTAGCCTTCCCTCCAATTTGAACTTGTGATTTGGTCTTCACCATATCAGTAACGTCCATTTCTTCTTCCTTAATTTTTTCAGTCGAGTCTTGGTGCATCCGGGTTATTGAAACACAGTTCCTCTCGCATCCACTTTTCTCAAAAATTTGTACATCAAAACACATATTGCCGTTGTATCTGAACACCAAGAAATCCTTGTCCCCCAAGGAGTGATTCTGGTAAAACTGCTGCCAACCATGTTGCATGATTGTGCTTCTGTCCTGCTTGCACATAGTAATGTTCCAACAATCACCGGAAGGACCCCTCAGAACTGCTCTAGTGGGCATTCTTTTTGGTAGATGGGTTCTAACAAAATGTGGTGGGATTTCCTGGAATAAATTTGAGAGAGAAGATTAAACAGCCATGGACTGGAAAAGCATATATTCAATGTTGTGCAAATCATACAACCATGTGTGATGGATCCTTAACTTTATTGTAGAATTCAAACTTTATTAGGATTGCCTTTTTAACTGTTATACCAAACAGAATCTTTCCATCATATGAACCAGCAGTGCATTTCTTCACCCACCCCTGAAGCCCCCCGCCTACTCTTACCTTTCATCAGTCATTACCCAATTCTAGGATTACTCAATCAGAAACCTACCAGACTAGCCATCAAAATCTTAAATGAACCTTTCTCAGTTTTTCCTTTAATTTTATCAACAAAAAACAGACTGCAGCAGATCTCAAAATTGAAATTTAAATCAAAACTTGAACAACATTATGTAAAACAGAAAAGAAGGAGAGAGAAAGGAAACTTACAAAGAAAGACATATAAAAAACCAAATCCATTATATATATCCATCATCCTCTAATTTCCAAGACTAAATCTTTCCCACAAACATAAAAGAACAGAGCAGTTCATATGTATGAAGACATGCATAGTGATTGTCTGCAACTGTAAAAAAACAAATCACAGACCGTTCAAACAAACAAGAGAATGAAGAAGCAGAAACATAGGGAAAAAACCTGTTTTCCTTGGTAAAGTCTGCAGGGAAAATGAAAGACAGAACAAGAAGGAAATATGCAGAAAACTTATACTACATCATTCATGTGCAAAAGCATACATATACACAGGTCATTTGCTTACAAAATGAACACAAATATCTCAGCATTAAGTCATCACTTCTGCTGGTAGTATGGGGTAGCATTAGCTACTCCCACTAACAGCTGAATTAACTACTAAAACATGTACTAGGCAGACTAAACTTGCTTAGTTGTCTGCTACGGTGCAGAAACCGGAACCAAAAACTAATGCATCGAACCAGACATGTATTTCAACTAGAAGAGTTAAATATTAAAAAACAATCTCAATTCTAACAGCAACCAAAAGAAAAAGGGACAGAGAAATCACCAAGCTACGGCTAGCGTCGCCCTTATGTAGAATGAACATGGAGAAGGAGGGTCGGTTGTCATGATCCGGAAGATTGCTTTCCACACCTTTTGGGCTCTTCATCATCATTTTCTTCTTTGACTCCAAATGGCTTTGCATTTTCTTTCTCTGGAACAAAAGGGGTTACAAAACAAAGCTAACTTTGTGAAAACAGATTCCTCGTTCAAACTTTATCTCTGGTTTCTAGTTTGTTTTGTTTCTAAAGCTTTCTCTCCATTTTCAGCCCCAACTATTTCCTCGTGTAACAAAGTTTTTCCAAAGCATTGGAGGAACAAACGTTTTATCAGAAATATATCAAGTTAGCTTGTGAGAATTAAATGAATAATCTGGTGGTGATAGAAGCAATTAACCCAACTTTCTTCAATTTTCGAGTTTCTGAGCTATGACTTTGAATTTTTGAGTGTTCTGACAAAATTTTCAGAACAGCATGCATGTATAGTTCTTCAGCAACAACTCTTTTTTGAGGTCCATGCCAAAGGTACGCTTAAAATGGAATAAAGACAAGCATTGTTGACATCTTAAGATGGGATTCAGAGCAACTGATCATATGTTTAATAACCTTATTGTCAAAATTGGAAATGCCGCCCTGCCCAAGTAATTGAAACCAACCATTCGGCCCTCACTAAAATAGGCATTGCATCCAGCTTCTCTGCCCTAACCATGTGACTAGCCAGGTCTTAAAAGTTTAAACAATAATTCATAATTACTTCAAAATAGTACTTACCTGCAAGTGCAAGGAAATAAATCTGACATCTTCATATGTATTAAAAAGTTCAAGTGCAGAAAGATGAAAATTCAACTCAATTCTTATTTATTGATTCGATTTTTGCTCAAGGCTCATTTGATGAACCACAGAAGGAAACACAAAAGAAAATATGAAGAAGCATGCAACCTCAACGACATCCTTTTACATGAACAGTTTTCTAATTAAACTACCAAGTACATACTATAATGCTATGAAAGAAACTTAACTGTTCTGCTTTCATCTAGAAACAAAGATAACAAAGGTAAAGGGACAGATTTGATTGCTTTGAGTTAAATGGTAAGTAAGATTAAGGTAATGACATACCTGAATTAATTAAAAAAAAAGGTAGAAACATTTTCAAGTGATTCATGGACCCAGTGATATTTCTTTGTCCATTTCTATATTTTGGGCTAAACCTGATTTCGTGCACTCAAGGCTTGTGTCCAACCTGGTTAAAGCCTTTAAAAAGGCAAAGGATTGTCCATCTTTCATTACAGTATTTAGCCGAAAAAGTATATATATTATACACGTTTGATTCGGCTTTTCTTTTCAGGTTTTGACTCCCAACTTCCAAGTAACCGTTTCTGGACAAAGATCCATCTGGCCTGCCGATATAACCGTTTGGCGCGTCCTACGTTTCTTCCCATGAACGTCAAAAGCCCCACCAATTGTCTCATCCCAAATCTTGCACATGTTAAACCACAGCAAACACAATTTATTTAATTCCTTTCTTCACCCCAATCTCTCTTTTTTCCTTTTAATTCACAAAAAGAGATAAAACATAAAAGGAAAAAAAACCATAGCAATCGAGTTCTAAGACCATCTTTAGTGCCTTTGAACAATATTGAATTTTATACAGACATTCTGGTATGTTTTTGGTCTTGGGTTCTTTATGAATTGTTTATGTTGGTTGCTTCATTAGCTGAAAATTAAATTCTTGTTACTAGCTAGATCCTTAATTTTGTTTACCCTTGTATATTGTCATGGTACGTTTGTTAGTGTTATGATTCTTCTACGTGCAAGTTTTCTTTACCTATTGGGATGTTAATGATTGTGAGTCCAAGGGTTTTTGTTTTTCTTCTTTGGAATTTAGTATTAGCATTGAGTTTTTGTTATTCTTCTTTGTTATCATCACCAAACAAAGAAATTAATTTTTCTCCTTTCGATCAATTGCATATCCAAGCCAGAGCTCAAAGTTTTTCACGATCTTTCAGAGGTGTTCAGAAGAATTGGAGAAGGAAGTGTGCCCATCATGAGGAGAACGATCATGGTGACACAAATGATGGTTGTGATGACGATGATGAGGATGATGATTGCTGCAATTGCAGATGATACTAATGGTGTTTTTAGTCCTTGTGAGGATTCAAAAGTACAGAAATCAGATGGATTCACCTTTGGTCTTGCGTTCTCGAAGAAGGAATTTTTTTTCTTTGATAATGTTCAGCTTTCGCCCTGTGATAGTCGGCTTGCCTTAGCCAGTAAAATGGCCCAACTAGCTGTATTTAGGCCAAAGGTGGATGAGATTTCTCTCCTTACCATCAATGGTAGCACTCCTGTAAGTATTTGCATCTCTTGAAACTCTCCACTTTTAACCACTGGGTAGTTAGTTAGAACAGTTTCTTTTGTATAGTTTGCCATAGACACAGATTTTTATTAATTCAAGCAATACTTTGCATCTTATATGCTTTCCATGAAGTCGAATGATAGAGATTGCTTAGCACAATGTTTTTATAACTTGATGTTATGTCCATAGTTTGATATCCATGGCATCATTTGGTGTTTCTTTCTTGGGTCTGCATTTATATTGTGTTGGACACTGACGTTTGAACCAATACTGGTTACTGACATTTTCATCTATATATTTTTCATAAGCTAATTAATCCTAGAGAATTCCTCGAAAAAATCATATCATGCCATCATGCACAAGGTGGTTTACCCCTCAGATGTCAATTCGTTAACCATGTTGAAAATTTTTTTGTAATAGGGTCTAGTTTTAGCCACGTTTGACATATAGACCTTTTTGGCCTGCACTTTCCATCTCTGTTTCTCTCCAGTGCTTTCTATTTTCTCCATCCCCTTGGCATAGCAAATACTGTCAAGAGAACAAAAACTTAAGTAAAAATTTACCCGATTTGGGTTTAATTATTTAATAATTCTGCAAATGTCAGAGGTCACTGTAGTCTGATCAGGGTAATTTTCTGAAATGCTCTGTGTTTATCAAGATTATTACTTTACTTTGATCTGGAGAGCAGGCATACACAAACAATAAATCCACTTTCTCAAGTTTTCCTTGAATTGGAAAGTAAGGACTTAATGAAATCATATATATTCTCTTTTATATTCAGTGGCTGTATCTCTAGCTTTGACCCTCAAGTAGAGCAAGGAAAATATTTGCTTCACTGCTTCACTGTTCTTTAGTTCCTTGCTCTTTGAGGAAAGTTGAGAACCTTCTTGTGTTTATTGAATTGCTAGTGCAAGAACAGTGAAGTAGTTAATACTTCTGCTGCTTATTCATGCCCGATCATAAACAGTTTTCTGATGAGAAAATTTACAATGTACATCAATGAAAATGTTAATAAAGTGATGCAATCTAAATATGTGATTTTTATAAAATTTTCCAGCTTGCAGCAGGTGGATTCATGGTAGCATTTGCAGGAAGGAAGTATGCAGCCAGGTCATTTCCAGTAATGGTTGCAGATGATCGAAATACCATAACTAGTTTCACTTTGGTACGCTCATTACAAACTGGCATATTTCTTCTATCTTGCTCTGCTGGTATGACAGATATGGAGTTTTTATTTCGTTGTTACACAGGTACTTGAATTCCATAAGGGTACTCTTCAAAATTTACACTGGAAAAGTTTTGGTTGTGATTCATGTTCTGGGGAGTCTGCTGTTTGCCTCAACAATCAAGACTGTGCAATGCCAACCACAAAATGTGGGCATACTGGGTGCAGCTTGGGCATACAGTTAGCATTTTCTGGCACAGACAAGAACCTTGAACCACTGAATTCATGGTATGAAGTGAACAACCTTCGCCAATATTCTCTCTATGGCCTATACTCAGATCTGCGTGATTCGATTACCGATTCTATTCCTGGTTTTATTTCCCACCAATAACAAGCTTTTCTAAGCCTTCCACTGGCTTATTCAACAGCTGAGGATGAACACGATGGGCCTGAACTAAATTATATGTATAACTAGGAAGCTAAATAGGCCGGAGCTAGTTACCCGTCCATGTCAATGTATAGCTAGTTTAGCACAAGAATGCGATGGATATTTGGCTGTTGTTATGAATTGGTTGGACTTTGCCCATATCTTTCAGGGAATTGTGCACAGAATGGTTTCAAAGAATATTAGGGGGTTGCTTCGCCGTTCATTTTCTCCACTTTATGCATCCGAAGCTGACAATGATGAGTTTGGATGAGGTAATGGGCAACGGACATAAACACCAGCCTTTTAACCTATACAACATCAATGCAATTACCACGTTGATTAGTAACTACATACATTCCCAGTTCCCGCATATGCCAAATATATTTTTCTAGGCTTTATTAGACCTTCAGAACACTAGAATACGGAGCACAAACACCGTTTCCGCGTATTATAATTAATGTATAACTTTTCTGTAGATAAACTGCAGTTGCAAATTCCTCGACAAACAGGACAAGTCCAATTGGGATTTTGGTTTACTTCAGTTCACATTCTCCCCACCCCTTTACAAATAGACCCAAAATCTTGATTAGCTTCTGGGGAAGTAAAACAGTACCACCACGAAAATGGTAGAAAATAAAAATAATTAACTCGTGTATAAGTAATCTCCACAAAGTAGGCCTCGGAGCAACCTGCGTTTGCTGCAATGTGTAAGGTGGCCAAGAGTTTTGGGTCTGCGAAATGGAAACAAGGTTATCCCTATGCATGCATTTTTGGGAAATAGAAGAAAAGGGGGATGAAAATGGAAAAATCTGTATTGAATTTACCTGCATTGATAACACACGTCTTTCCTTTGACTGGGACCGTATATGCGTTTCCCATCCACAAGCAGAGTCCAATTCATTCCACAATCACCCAAAAGCTTTTCTTGCTCCCTATGAAGTTCCAGTTTCAAGCCTTCTTCTAACTGAATCTCAATCTCAGAAAAAAAAAAAAAA